TGCATTGCTGGTGAGGATGCAAAATGGCACAGCTGCTATGGAAAACAGTATGGCAGTCCCTCAAAACACGAAACAGAATTACCCATGACCCACAGTTCCACTTTTGAGTGTATGCACAAAAGAATTTAAAACAGGGACTCAGATATGTGTACACTCATGCATATAGCAGCATTGTTCACAACAGTCAAAAGTTGGGAACAACCCAAATGTCCATCAGCAGGAATTGAATAAACCAAATGTGGTCTGTCCACAGAATGGAATATTATTCAGCCTTAAAAAAGGAAAGGGCTTCTGATAGATGCTGCAACATGGATGAGCCTTGAGGACATTATTCTAAGTGAAATAAATCAGCTATGTAAGGACAAATACATGAGGGCCCTGGAGTCGTCAAATTTGTATGCACCTAAAGGAGAATGGTGGGGATCGGGGCTGGGTGAAGAGGAAGTGGGCATAGTGTCTAATGGGGACAGACCTCCAGTTTGGGAAGATAAAAGTGTTCTGAAGATAGATGGTAGTGAGGCTACACAACATCGAATGAGCTTAATATTTAAAATGGTACACTTTAAAATGGCTAAAATGGTAAATTCTGTTACGTAGATTTAACCATAAAAAAGAGAAGTAGAAGAAGGTAAGTCAAAAGACCTACAGACCTAAATATAAAAGCTACAACTATAAAGCTTCTAGAAGAAAATAGGATAGGGTCTTCACCAGCCAGGAGGAGGAAATGATTTTTCAGAAAGAACATAGAAAACACTAACCATAAAGAGAAAACCAGATGGGCACCAGTGGCTCATGCCTGTAATCCTAACCACTTGGGAGGCTGAGATTGGTTGGGAGGATTGTGGTTTGAGGCCAACCCAGGCAAATAGTTCACAAAACCCCCATCTCCAAAATAACCAGGGCAAAATGGACTAAGGTGTGGCTCAAGTGATAGAGCACCTGCTTCGGCAAGTACAAAGCCCTGAGTTCAAACCCCAGTCCCACCAAAAAAGAAAAGGCAGATACACTGGGCTTGAAATCCGTTGCAGTGTGGTAGGGGCAGCAGGTAGAGGGGCTGAGCAGAATCCTGTTGTCTGCTGCTCACATGTGGCCCAGGCTAGGGGACCCACAGTGCTAGTCTCTTGCATCCAACTGATACTTGGAGCTACAATCTGCATTTGGGGCTCTGTGTTGGCTTTTTGATGCTGTGACAAAATACCTGAGGACTTAAAGTGGGAAGGGTTTATTTTGGTTTCAGAGATTTCAGTCTATAGAATGTGGCTCCATTGTTTCTGCCCCACGGTGAGACAGAGCATCATAGTAGAAGCACATGGTGGTGTAAGACTGCTCACCTTATGGTGATGGAGAAGCAGAGTCATCATCAGAGGCAATATATAGATCCCAAGCACCCACTCCCTTCAACTGGTTCCCACCTCCTCAATTTCTATGAAATCAGTTCAGCTTTGTGAGCTCAGGGTCCTAAGTCACACACACACAAACATGCCAGGATCCACACCATAACAGGCCCATCTCAGGTCACCTGCCATGCAACCCACAGGACTGCACTAAACAACGCTTCTGGGCTGATTTTAGAATGGTCTGGTCGTGGATATCCAGGCAGTTGAGCGCTTAGTGTCTTCATAGGGCACCTACTTTAACCAGAGTCAGCACTTCCTGGCAGCCTCACTGAGATGAGCTTAGACCCTCCCTCCATCCACTTCCTCTGTGGCCAACCATGGGGTCTTGGACCCATCAGGGTTTAGGACTCTTTGCTGGCTCTGGGGCAAGCGAGAGAGGTAGATGAAATACAGCATCCTGGGAACTGATCCCGAGATTAAGGAACTCAGGATTATGAGGGAAGAGAGCCACCCATGGACTTCATCCACACTGGAGATGGTCACTCTGGGGTTCCATGCTGTACAGCCACAAAAAGACTGCAGAGACACCACAAGCAAGTGTTGCTGGGCTCTCCAAGGTGGAGTACAGCCTTGAAGGTCACTGTCCCGGATGGGGTGGGGGCTTCTGCACATTCCAGGGCTGCCATCTTGATGTGATTCTATCTGTTGGGAAGCAGGGAGTGGACGCTGTCCCACTAGACAGAGTCTCTGGGTCTTAGTGGGACAATGGGACCAGGATCTCCATTGGGAAACTAGTGAAAGCCAAAGGCTTCCCCTGCCACAAAGGAAAAAAAAAAAAAAAAAAACCAACCCACAAACTCTAAGGCAGCTGGTGGAGCTCTCTGTGTACCTTCTCAAATCTCAGCTAGAGACAGTTTTGTCCTGGCTACTTGTGTTGATCCAAGGCCATGCAAGAAGCTTCCTGTCCTGCCCCCTTCTGGTTATATTTGAGGGAAGAATTGACTGTACCAGCTTTGCAGATGGAGAAACTGAGTCTCAGGGGCCACCCAAGACGCCAGCCTGGTCCCTAAAGGAGTGTCTGGCTTAGGAGCCAGGAATTCTCAAACTCATCTTCCTTCCTGCACAGCCTATGGCCACTGCCCCACCCACCTGGCTTCCCTGGAGGAGAGGGGTATAAATTGGGGTGAAGACCTTAGAGGTCAGAGTTGGAATCAGAGCCCAGGTCTGCCTGGTCACAGTCTTTGTCCTGACATAACAAGTGGTAAATGACACATAGTAGGTGTTTAGTAAATGGGGCAGTGGCCCCCGTCTGCAGGAGCCTGCTGGTGGTGATATCAAACACAGACAGAGGAACAATGACCTGGCAGGGTGGGAGACTCTGACATGAGCCCCCAGCCATATCCCTTGCCTCCCCAACACCCTGTTTATTCTTTACATAATAAAGCCTCTTGTCATGAACTTAAGGCAATAATGAAGGCAGATGAACTTGATCACTCTTTTTTACTGTTTTCATCCTTTTGCTTCTTTCTTCCTGCTGCTGTAGCAGGTGGGAGGCCCGGCAGATGCTCTGTGTGGCTCCTGACACCCTTTGCCTCCTACTCTCAACCCTGTGCCCCAGTAGCCCAGGCCCAAGCTGCAAGTGGTGAGGCCATCTCAACTCACGCAGGTCTGATGTACTGCAGACCTGGGGGGCATGGTGGGTACTGAGTGCATGAGGGTTCTCCATGGGCCATGTGTGTGCTGGACCTAGGACGCAGAGCTGGACCAGCCCCCACCTCAAGGAGCTCCTACAAAAGCCACAATGGCATAGCATGTCCTGCAGAGACAGGTGCTGCCAGCTCTGCCTAGGTTGGAGAAAGCTTTCTAGGCAATTGCTTTGGCCCACAGGAGGACACTTCCAGTAGCAGGAACTATCAGGGCAAAGCCTGGAGGTATGAACCATACACAATTTGTATTCATTATGATTGGAAGGAAAAATACAAGGGAGGACAGAAAGATGCAAGCCTGAAGACATAGGCAGGACCCAGTGTCAGGCAAAGGCCTTTGAACTTTGTCCTTGGGCGGTAGGGAGCCACTGAGGAGTTCTGAGCAGGGGAGGCACCTCGTCAGGACTACCAGTGAAGCCATGAGTCTCTCCCTCTACTTGATCTCCAAGGCTAAGCCTGAACATTGAGCCTTTTCTGCTCTCACCCCTCCCTGAGCTGTAAGTCTGGCCTAGAAGTGGCTGTGATTCCTGCCTTTCTCTTCCCCACTGTGAGGTGGTGGGTCCTCAGTTTCCTTGTTTGTCACAGATGGAGTGCTAATGAAGCTCACAGCAGGCTGCTTGAGATGCTCAGTGCATGTCAGGTTCCGGGGTACCATCACCATCAGCACTTAGTAAGCACTAGCCATGCCTGCTGCTGTTGGGTTGCCCCTGTGGCTTAGTAAGGCGTGTGTATCAAATATGCCTGTGGTGCTGAGGACACATGGGGAGCCTGAGCCGTGTTACAAAACTGATGATCTGATGGGGGAGACAGGCAGATGAACCTCTGCTGTGGCTCCCAGGACCGAGCATTACACTGAAGCGACAACGCAGAGAGAGAGTTAGCGCTGGAGAGTTGGGAGGCCTTCCAGAAGCAGTGACATTGGGTTTGGGGGAAACATTTACTTGAGAGAATGTTTTAGTCAGCAGCCATTGGCCTGTGAACAGGGAGGAGGGAGTGCACTCTGGCTGCTCAGCTCCCAAAATAACTGGGATCCGAGGGCGGACAACCCGGCAAGCCTCAGGAGTTGTGCCATTTCCCAGCTGGGTTCTGGTGACCTTGGAGCAGTCCTTGCCCTACCCCATGCCCCCGGTGGCAAGAAGGACAGAAGAGGGATGCCCAGGACAGAGCTGGCCCAGGGCACCAGGCAGTCAGTACAGGCATTGGGGTCGATGTCCTCTCTCTGCCTATCACTGAGCTGTCCCCTAAAACCTGGCTGACGTTTGCCTTCCGGCTTCTCCACCCAACCAGCGGCTTGAAGACTGGCAAACCAGGGCCAAAGACTTGCAGGTGGCAAGAGGGCACTCTGCAGACGTCAGCCACTCTTGCCCTCTCCCTGTGTCTTCCCACTCCATCTCTGATGCAGTCTCTGTGTCTTGGCTTTAATTCCTCTCCTCTAGATCTATGTTCCTCCCTCCTTGTCCCCCTTCCTCTCTCTCTAAAGTCTTCATTTGTCTTCTCTGAAGCCTGCCTCTGTTTCTCTCCTGTGCTCCCCCCTCTCTCCCATCCCCGGACTCTCAAGTTCTCCTGTTTTACAGCCTCCTTCTCCCTTTCTCTTTCCCCTCCTCCCATACCCTCCCCTCTCCCCCTTCTAATAAGAGAATTCCTAGAACACACACACACACACACACACACACACACACACAGCTCACTGAGCCCCTTTTAAGACCAGAGCCCAGGCTCTCTCCTGCCCTGGCCCCAGAACAAGGGTGGGTGGGATGGGAAGGGTTCTGCACCCCCCTGGCTCCCTCACCTGCATCCTCACAGGTAGGTGCAGGAGGTACCCTGCTGGTGTGGAAGGGTGCTTCTGAGCTGATTCCTCCATGGGTGCAGCGACTGGGCTTCCCAGGCAGTTGGACTGTGGCTCGGGCCATTGGTCCCATTCAGCAGAATTATAAATAGCAGCCTGTGCCTGGTCTGGCCCAGAGAGCAACCATAGCTGCTGCAGGGCCCTGGGCCCCCCGGTCCTCCACCCCTTCAGCCATCCCCTTGAGGCAAGACCCGCCATTCCCCTGCACAGCCAGTGGGTCCCCAGGTCAGTATCCAGTGTGCTGTCACCATGGCAACCTGTGTGTCCCCATCCAGCACAGGCTCAGGTTGCTAGAGGTGGAGGTAGAGGTGGGTGCGGGGGTGGGGGACTGAGGGAGAGGTTCAGTGGCCTAGAATCAAAGGTCGCTGCTTATGCTGGGGCTTGTGGGCTGTCTTGGGGAGGGTGGGGAGTGGAGTCTGGACCACCCAAAGCCTCACCCTGCTGGAGTAGGAGGCAGACATGCCTTGGCTGGGAGGCTCTGAGGCCTGCCAGAAGGGTTCTGCCCCACAGCTTTCTGGTGGACGGGGCATAGTGGAATGAGCATCAGCCTTAAAACCAGAGACCTGAGTTCAAATCCTTCTTCCCCACCATCACCCAGCTGTGTGGCAGGTCACTGGGTGGCCTGCTTAGACTTCTGTTGGTCCTGGGGGCAGCATAGGGTCAAGATGACACTTGTACACTTGAGAGTCACAGGAACATGGGTCTGGATCCAGCCTCTGCCATTCACTATCAGGGTAATTGTTTGTAAGCTGCTCAATCTTTCTGAGCCTCAGTTTCCCCATCTGTGAAATGGCTGTGAAAACAGCATCTGTATCTGACTGTGCTGCTTTGTGGGTAAGATGGGTCACTGTGGAAGAAGGCACATAGCTGTGCCATGCACACAATCTCTCCTGTAGTCACTGTCACTTTGTAAGCTGTTGTTCTGGCTCAGCTTCCTCGTTGCCTCCACATCGGAGGCAACCCTACCTTCCTCCTAACTTGCCTCACCAGTGACGTGACTTCAGGTGACTCCTTTTGTTGTGAGTCTCAGTCTCCCTGTCTGCATAGTGACCACAGGACTCCTCCAGCCCTGCCCAGCTCTAAAAGGGGTATGTGTCAGCAGACCCCACCAGGCTGGGAAGTTTCTATTATTACACACCCCTGCCCTCTCTAGCCCTGGGCACTGGAAACCCGAGCTGGGGGTGAGGGACAGCCTGCCTGGTTGCCTGGCAACCAAGGCGCGAGCACAAGAGGCTTGGGTGTCAGGGTGTCCCAGAGCAGCCCCTTCCCAGGAGGGCTCAAGGTAGGGACCCTTGCCTGGGCCAACCCAGGAGGGATGTTTCATTCTTCCCATACCTGCCCAAGCCTAGCCTGTCACAAAACCCACTCCTTCAGAATGACAGAGGCCAGTGGCCTGGGATATCTTTATAGGTGGAGCACATGGTCAGGCTCAGAGAGAGAGAAACTGGAGCCTCCTCTTCGCTGCTAACTGATACAGTGGCTGTCACTGTCACCCTCTTCTTGGAACTCCGTAGCCCACATTTGTACAAAAGCATGGAGAATTCTCTGACCCCCTTGTAGGGCTGGCTTCTGAGCTATACAGTGCTTACTTTGGGCACTTGACAAATCACATCACACCTGTGGTCTCCTGGCTTCTCTCCAGAACTCCTTGCACATTTATATTCTTTTACCAGCATCCACAGCTCTACTGTGTTCTGCCTGAGTGAACTTGGCCAGTCACGAACCTTTTCTGACTCGGTTTTCTTATCTGTACAGTGGGATATTAAGAATGTCTACCTTATAGACTTGTGGATCAAAAGAGGTGACCCATATGAAGAGGTTAGCATGGGGCTCCGTTCATAGAACATGCTCTGAAAATACTCGCTTGCCATTAATTTTATTAAATTGTTATAACATGCAAGAGTTGAGCCAGGCAGGGAGGGAACAATGCCAAGCTGTTTGAGAACAGGGTTGAGTCCAGTTCCTCTCCAACCAGGCTCTGGACCCATAGTAGGCTCCCTGCAAAAGTTTATTAAGTGGGTGGCGATGAGAAATGAACCACTGCCCCTGAAATCCGTTGCTGCCCAAGACACTGAGTGATGAGACACTCGCATTAAGCATCTCCTATAGCCCCTGACTATCTTCTGGCTGCCTCACCCACAACAATACCACAAGGTATTTAACTCTCTGGGTGTTCTGTCTCTGCCCTGTGACTGGGCTAGGGCTGGAGCAGGCCCAGGCTCCCTCAGGCAGCCGGAAATAGCAAAGCAGACAGATGGTGGGGGGAGCAGGATCCGGCACTGACAGGAACCCAACAGTGAGCATCTTACATGTTCTGCCCTCAGCACTAGCCAGCCTTGTCCCACTCCCAACACTGAGTCTGACAACACTTTGTCAGACAAGTCACTTGCCCTCTTGGGGCCTCAGTTCCCCATCTGTGAAATGGACACCTTACTCCCTTTCTCCAGGGTTACAGACAAAACAGGTTAGACTGTAAAGAGTCCCTTCCATGGGACAAGGTGGGTTGGTGGGTTGGTAGCCATGCCTCTCCGGGGCACATAATTCATCAGCAATTCCACATTAGGTGACTGCCAGCCCCCTGGCCCAGGGCTGTTTCTAACAGCAGGTGATACGGCCAGGCTGGCGGCTTCAGAATTTCATCCTTAACTTCTTCCAGTCCAGTAAGAAGCTGCCATCTGCTTGCCTCCCCTCACATGGAGCCGCCAGGTCAGCCAAAGCCCCTGCCCTTTTCTGCTCAAGGCCTGGCCTCACACTGTCCCTGGAGTCAGAGAGAAGATTCTTACCTGGCTTCCTATAAGAGGCTGAAGCTGGAGGCAGTTGAAAGCCTCTACCTACCAGTCTCCCAGCCATGTTCCTTCCCCTGTACAGGGAGGAGGGAGCGGGGCAGCCCTGGCTTTCTCTCTCCCCCCAGAACTTTACATTCTACTCCACTGTGGCCCACATAGGGGCCCAGGCCCTGGTACAAATTCTGCCAGCTATCCTCTGGCTGTGTGACCTTGACCAGTCATTCCACCTCCCTGAGCTTCAGTTTCTTCATCTATAAAATGAACCCCTTTCTCGGTTGGGAGGTGGGGGCAGAAAGATCTTGAGTTCAAGGCCAGCCTAGACAAAGTTAGCAAAACCCTCTCTCAGAAATGAACAAGTAAACAAGAAAGGGCTGGGGAGTGTAGCTCAAGTGGAGGAGACCTAGATTAATCCCCAGTACCACAAACAGAGAGGGGGAAGGGGGAGAGGGAGAAAAGAAGGAAGAATGGAGGGGGGAGGGAGGGGAGGAGGAAGGAAGGAAGGGAGGAAGGAAGGAAGGAAGGAAGGAAGGAAGGAAGGAAGGAAGGAAAGAAGAAAGAAAAAGAGGAAGGAGAAAAAAGAAAAAAAGCACCTACCTCTCCCTTGGGCTGTTGCAAGCATTAGCAAGTCATGCACAAAGAAAGGTAGATGCAAGGAACAACCCTGATAGTAATAAAACTTCACCACCCTTGGGATTATTTTTATTCCTATTGCTGCTACCCAGATGCCTTGATTCCATTGGCTGTCTCCCTGTCACCTCTCCTCTACATCTACCTCAGCTTTGATTCCTCCTGGAGGCAGGGCTGGGTACACAGAAGGTGCTCAATGCATGCTCTTTGCCTTTGTATTCAATAACAAGTGTTAAAAAGAGGGTAGGTCTGAGACTTCTGGTTCCTGGGGTCCAGCTATGGTTCCTGTAGCTGCTTTTCCATGTGCCCAGTTGGCAAGCTTTTGTAAGGTACCAGCTGTGTCTGTTGGGTGTGCCAGGGACTGAGAGAGAGATGGACCCTCAAGAGCACAAATGGCACAATCCCATGGAGGGATCAATTGACTGCCTGGAGAATGGGGTTGGCGTAGGGTTTACTGAGGAAGGGGCCCATTGAGTCAGGCTCTGGAGGGTGAATAGGAAAAGCAGAAAGCATGGAATATCTTGTACTGAGGCATAGCAGGTGGGCCACAAAGCATCTCTGATTTGATCTTTTAAATTATTATTAACATGAGAAAATCCCCACCTAGATGTTTCAGTGGCCAGAATGTAACTTCTGCTGATCTAAGGGCACACACGTGCTCATCAAGATAGAGACTGATCCAGAGAGGCCCCTTCTCTGAGCTCTAATTCAGTGTCAAAGATCCAGCAGGAGTCAACATTAGACCTCAGGAAAGCATCTAGATGATCCTTATTTTACGATGGGAAACTGAGGCCCAAAGTGTACAGATGTGGAGCAAAGACCATAACCACAGATCCCCCAGGACAGGCCAATCACCCATGGTTTGGGGTGACAGGACATGAGTTGTAGGCTTATGCATGATCTTCATTTCTTGCTAGGGTAAACTGAAGGCAGAGAGCGAAGTCATCTGATGGCCAGGTTTGGGCGGTCTGGCTTGGGGGTTCCTGGCTTATGCGGTTCGGACTATGCCTTGTGGAATGGTCATAGAGAAATGAGGCACTGCGGCAGGTCAGCTTCTCTTCGTGTTCTGGGTTTCTGAGGTGCTCCCTCTTGTTAACCCATCCACTCCCAGTCTGGAGGACTGTGACCCCACTCGAAGTTAAGAAAAGTCTCTGTCACATCCTGGCTTTCTCACAACACCCACACTCACGCATGTACCCCACACACAAGAATCCAGAGGGCTTATTTCTGAAATGCACACACCTTTGGTACACCTCAGCACCTCCCCAACCCTGGCAAGCTTTGTTCCTGTAGCTGCTTTTCCATGTGCCCAGTTGGCAAGCTTTTGTAAGGTACCAGCTGTGTCTGTTGGGTGTGCCAGGGACTGAGAGAGAGATGGACCCTCAAGAGCACAAATGGCACAATCCCATGGAGGGATCAGTTGACTGCCTGGAGAATGGGGTTGGCGTAGGGTTTACTGAGGAAGGGGCCCATTGAGTCAGGCTCTGGAGGGTGAATAGGAAAAGCAGAAAGCATGGAATATCTTGTACTGAGGCATAGCAGGTGGGCCACAAAGCATCTCTGATTTGATCTTTTAAATTATTATTAACATGAGAAAATCCCCACCTAGATGTTTCAGTGGCCAGAATGTAACTTCTGCTGATCTAAGGGCACACACGTGCTCATCAAGATAGAGACTGATCCAGAGAGAGCCCCTTCTCTGAGCTCTAATTCAGTGTCAAAGATCCAGCAGGAGTCAACATATGAAGACCTCAGGAAAGCATCTAGATGACATCCTTATTTTACAGATGGGGAAACTGAGGCCCAAAGTGT